CGCACCCCCGGCATGAGGAACGCGAGCAAGGAGGTGCACGGCGCCGCCAGCCGCTACGCCCCCTGCGGTGAGTGACCGGGGGCGCGGTCAGCCCCTGCGCCGGACAGCTCCGCGCCCCGCCCCCGCGCGTGCAGATGGAGCCCGCGATACCCCAAAGAAAGGGCCACCGTTCCTGTGCCCCGGGGTCAAAGCAAGGCGTAAAGGGAAATATGGGGGGGGGTAGTCCTTTCTCCCTCTCTTCTCAGAAAACAAGCACCCAGCTGCCTGCTGCCGCCTCGGCTGTCGGGGCAAAGCATCTCCGAAATTTCCTCTGCTGCTCTCGCTGCACCTCTCAGGGCTCCTTTCTCTGAGTGGTGAGGTCTCCTCTTCCTTCAGCTGCAGCCAGTGTCCTTCATTGAGGGGCCCCCTCCTCATTTAGGCCCCAACCCATTTAACTATGCCCCCCCAAGTGCCTGGACACGGCCCCCAGGGTTCCGTGGAGGTGCGTGTGGGTTCCCACTGGGCTGGGCCTGGGGCTGGGTAGGGGGTGGGCTGTCCTTGCCTTTGTTTCATTGCTCCCCTCCTGGGAGGGCTGGAGGGGGTGGAGTGGGGTCCAGGAGCCGGCTGGGAGCTGCAGGGCGGGGCTGGCAGGCAGCCTGGGCCCTCGCCTTGCTCAGAAGTGGAACAGAGCGTGGCCTTCCCGTGACCTAATAGGGCTTCTCGTCCGGAGCTCGGACTGTGACCACTGTGGGGGACACTTTGGTGGGGGACAGGGGTGCAGGGAGCGGGGCGGTTTCCCCTTCTCGGCCGGGCTCTCGTGCTGCGTGTGACCCCTCCGTGCCTCTGAGCGGCCTCCCCTGTATGAAACACTGTTCTAAGCACGTTTATACGCTCACAGTGAACCTCAAAACAGCAGGGCAAGGTAACGTTAACCCCATTTATAGGTGGAGACGGCGCAGAGTTTGAGGGCGCTGCTGGAGGTCACGGCCCTCCCAGGAAGCTCCTCCCAGGCTTTGACCCCAGTTCTCTGAGGCCTCCCTGGGCAGCCAGGGTGATGGCCAGCGGGAGACGTCTTTGGGTCCCCTGTGGGGTGTGGCTGAGCCTCAGCCCTGTGCTTAGAGAACAGAGGGCCGCGGGGGTGGGTCCTCGCTGCTCCTCAGCCACCTCCTTCCTGATACAACAGTGACCACAGGGCGACCTGGGGCCATGCAGGACTGATACCCTTCGGAGTGATAGAAGCCGCAGGGCAACTCTTGCCCCCTTTCGCCCCGTGTGCGTGGTGCTGACAGGGGTCTCCGTGTTGGGGCCCCGGCTCTCTGGGCACCTTTGCGCCATGATAAACGGCGTAACGAGGAGAGGGCAGTGTTCTCTGTGGATTAATTAGTAATCAAAACACAGAGGAAAACTAAAGCCAGAGCTGAGCGCCTTCCCTCGAAGTGAGATGGTTCGACCCGAGGAAGAGCAGAGCGTGAAGCTCATAAACTCTTAATTCCTAATTTGATTCTCTGTGAGCCTCTGCACAACCCCTTACACCTTCCCCGGTGCGTTTTTTCCCCTCCTTTTCAAAACTGTAGCGCTGATTCAGCTCATGCCTGTCCTTAGACGTTGAAAGATCTGCTGTGTTAAATATTTACTTGTGTGTAGTGAACCCAGCTTTGGTTCTGAGTAGAAATTGGACATCTGAGCTTTCAGCTCAGGGGACCATTACCTCTTGCTCAGGGGCCCCCTGTCCACTTATGTAAATCAGTCCATTCAGCACCGTTTTCCTGGGCACCCCCTTATCGGGCGGGGCTCCCCAGAGCCAGGGAGCCACAGGATGTGTGTACGTGTATATACACATGGGGGGGGGGCGGAGATTGATTTTAAGGACGGGCTCACACCGTTGTGAAGCAGGCAGGTCCACAACCTGCAGGGCGGGCAGGCGGCCTGGGCCCCAGGGCTGTCGTCCTGGGTCTGAAGGCATCTGGAGGCTGAGTTCCTTCCTCCTGGGGGACCTCAGTCTTTTTTTTTTTTTAATCTTCACCTGGGGATATTTTTTCCATTGCTTTTCAGAGAGAGTGGAAGGGAGAGAGAGAGAAACATCAGTGTGAAACAACATGGATTGGTTGCCTCTGGCACACGCCCAACAGGGTCAGGGATTGAGCCTGAAACCGAGGTACATGCCCTTGGCCGGAACTGAACCCAGGACCCTTCAGTCCTCGGGCCAGTGCTCTAACCATTGAGCAACGCCAGCTAGGGCGGGACCTCAGTCTTTTCTCCTAAGCCCTTGAACCACACCGTCGAGGGTCATCAGCTTCCCTCAGGGTCCACCTCATCTGAAGGTACCTTCGCAGCATGTGTCCCGTGGGCTTTCCCCCATCCCCGCATCCCACGGCAGTGAGACCCCTCCCGGCACAGCCAGTCTTCCGGGCAGGGGACTGAACCAACCTGGGCCTCCCTGTGGCAACTCAGCCTCGGCCCCTCCTCTCCCTAGACTGGTATTACCACCTCCCCGTGAGGCGCTCGGAGAAGGCTGTGGACGCCCCGCCCGTGTCCCAGATCCCAGGCCTCAGCGAGCTTCGGGGGGACCCGCCCAGCAGGCACACGCTGGCCACGCGGAGGTACTGGATCAAGGACACGGACTCGGAGTACGTCAAGCTGGCCAAGCAAGGCGGCCGGCCCGGTGAGCGCCCTGCGCCGGGGTCCCCGCCCTGTGGGGACAGCAGTAAGGCTGTCGTCGTCCCTTCCTGTCAAAGTGTCACTGCACAGAGCTGGGTGTTGCGCAGGCTGCCGGAGATGGCGGCTAACGGTCACCTGGGGGCCGTGAATACCCCTCAGGGACACGCTGCCCCTGAGAATTAGGCTCTGTAGGCAGGTTCACAGAGCTGGCCCCGGAGGACCTGCTTCCAGGCGGCAGCGTGGCCGTGATTCGCCGTCTCACGCTCCGATGGCAGAGTCTCGGGAGACTGCTCTGGGGGCAGAGTCCGTCTTCGAGTCCGCTGGCCTGGCCGCCCGCTCGCGAAGCGTGTCTCCCTGTGGCCGGTCTCGCTGCCTTGTCCCGAGCACTCACGTGTTCGGAACCGTGGGCCCCGGGTGAGTTCCAGCGGCGACGCTGACGAGCCTCCGACCTTGTGATTTAACTGAGAAAGCGCCGGTGCTGATAGACATCGCTGAGCGGGCGAAGGAGTCCCGTCCAGAATGTCTCTTGTCACTAGTGGCGCCGGGGATACGAACCTTTCTTTCCGGCCGCCACCATCCCCGAGAAGGTCGTCGCGGGGAGCAAATCGTCTGGGCTGCAGGGTTAGAGCCCAGAGCAAACCGTCGGGTTCAGTCCACACAGAGCACAGGGCAGAGGGCCCCCCCCGCCCCCGCTCCCGGCTGTGGTGAAAGGGAAGAGCAGGCAGCTGGCAAATACGGTTGAGACCTGAGATTAGATAAAAGAGCTAATTTTCAGCGATGGCAGTGACAGTGCTGACCAGGGGGCAGAGGGGAGAGGACGGTGGAGACACAGACAGAGGTCGTGGAGGCGGAGATGGTGGTGGAGGCAGCGATTAGGCCGCGTGCGGGAGGTAAGGCAGGTGGGGGTGAACCGAGGGCCGGAGCTGGGGGTCTGGCTGAAGGTACAGCCGGAGAGAACTCACAGTATTCTTGCAATTGCGAAGTCAGAAATATTTAAAAATAAAAGTTAAACTTTTCTTCCTGATGGCAAGCAGGAAGCATTTATTACTCTTGTCACTTTGCGGCCCGTCACCCGTCCTTGACACCCGCCCGGCCCCCAAGGATGAGAAAGCACTTGGGTGGGGGTGGGGGGGAGAGGTAGTAAAAGCCAGAGACTCCAGAGAGGAGGCAGGTGGATTGTGGCTGGATGGGGCTGGATGGGACAACTTCCCCCTAAAGTGCTGCGGGGTCAGGGACAGCCCCGCGGTGGCAGAGAACAGTCAGGCTGACCCAGGTCACAGGGTCGGCCTGGGGGCAGCTGAGAGGGCAGCCAGCCAGCAGCCCCCTGGAGACCGGAGGGGCTCTGCTCCCTCAAACGTCAGCCTGGAGCATGAACCACCCACAGGGATGGGTGGGTGTGGACGGGCACAGATGGCAGCCA